AATGAAAGAGGGTCATAGCAATAATGTAAGTAGAAGTAAAGTTAGTACAGTAAAATTAAAACAATATTTTTAATCAATGAGCCAAGTTCCTCAAGAAGCAGTTGTAGAAGTAGCTGGATAGAAGTTTTTTTATTTAAAACTTTTTATAGAATTTCTTTAAAAACATAATAGTTAATCTGGGCATTTGGCGATACAACACTTATAGAATTGAAGGATTTGTTACGTTAAGCGCTCAGGTATCATAATTTTGATCTAGTTGCGCTTCTATGTCATTTTGATTTATGTTGCTAAGTTAACTTTCAAAAAATTCTATGGCTGGCAACAGCATTTATATTTTTTAAGTTGTTTATTTTTATTTCTTTTACAATTCGTTCTTTTTTTAGTGAAATATTTTTTAACCTAACAGAATTATTTGCCGACTGTTCTCTGTATATATGAAGAAAATAAAGTAAATAATTAAGTGTTGTGAAAAGAATCTTATTTAGTTGTACAAAATGAAAACTGCCACCAGCAGAAAAGAAATACAGCCAAAATTTGGGAGCCACGTAAGAGAATTATATATAATAGATAAACATAGACTTTTTTTAATAAACAGGAACTGTCTTCATTTTGTTTCTTGTTCAAAAATTAACCTTTTATTTTTAACAATTTTTTTTTTTGTTGAAATTTTGACATATTTTGAATAAAGGGTTTTGGACAGGATGGTTTAAACCGGGAATCAATTCATTCTGTCTTAAACTTTGACAACCCTGATCACCAACTACATCAAATTCATGATTGTTTGATCCCTGGAAATATCAAGCAAAAAATATTGCAAGTATATGAATGGGAGAAGCAAGATTGATCATGCACTTGGTACATGTAGGGATGACCCTGCTCCTAGATTAAAAGATAGTACGTTACAAATGTTCGCTAATGAGTCATGAGACAGAAGTTTGGTCAGATCTGTCTTCTTCGGGCACCTTTGACCATACCAGTGGTAGACAAAGACAGGAAAAAAAAGCAAATTATATCTGTGTCTGTTTTAATATACAGAATACACATGAATGCTAAATATACTTATAATTTATGTACTGAAAGAAGCTGATAGAATAGTCAAATCTCTCAGTATCACTGGTGGTTCTTTTGGCAAGTTTGTCGGCAACAATAACACACATAATATACTGGTGTACTGAAACAATTTTTTTTTGTTGTTCAGTTATGGAATATGCTAAATTACATGCGAAGACCTGAAGATTCCAGTCATTTTCCTGGTGGGAGTCAAACTCAAGAAACAGGAAGGGAAGGAAGATATAATGCATCCCGCCCAGGACCTTCTAGACGACCCAGATTCAGTAGGAACCCTAATCGTAGGCAACAAGATTATGATAATGCCAGAACCAGAACAGAAGGGTGAGGATGTTTCTATTTTATTATTATCATTGTTATAAATATATATATTCTGTCTATGTACAGAACTCCCCTGACAATTCGCCTTTAGCTGTGGCAGTGATTATGGTTACAAGATTTAACTATTTTATGTAGGGTTTTTGCTTGGCTCAGCAAAAGAAAAAGAATCAGGGAGAAAGTATCTCCCCTTTTTGAAAAGTGTTTTATTTTCTGTTTACATAGTAGAAGACAGCCGTAGACTTGGCAAGAGGAGTTCTTTCTATAGACAAATTATATGTTATACAAGGTTTGATCATGTTAAATTCATATTTATTTTAAATGGTTTGTTGAAATTCTTCACATAATATGTGGTATTATTTGTAATTTTTAATTACATGACATTGATATTTTTGTAACATTTTCTAAATTGATTCTAAAAAGTTAATTTGTAGTTGATAGGCAGGATCCATTCTCTTCTTTTTAAAAAAAATGGGAATTTAGTTTTAAGCCTGTATTTTCAAATTCTGTTTATTTTTCTAAGACACATGAAATAAATCACCGATTGTATCTATGATTATTGAAATTTGAAAATGATACTAAATCAATAAAATGTTAATATTTTATTGTAATTTATAACAATATAATATAAATATATGTTAAATATTTAATTAAATTTAATATTTTATTAACAGTTCTTTTCCTTGTTCGGAGATATATTTTAAATTAAAATTACTTCATAATTTGATATTCCAACTTGGGTTTCCTCTTAGTCGCATTTTCTTTTCCTTTTCCATTTATCCCTATTACAGTTGAATCAACAGAAACTTTTTTCTAAAGAAATAATTGTGTGATCTCTATTTTATTTAGTAAGTATAATGTAGGTACTGAATGATTTTTTTTAATATTATTATTATTCCTCTTATATATTTTTTATATCATTATATATTTGATTTTTATTGTTATTTATGTTAAATTAATTGATTTAGCCTTATCAGAGAATATATCTTGAGTGATTGTATTCTGGGTTTTCATATCCTATAAGATCTTCGCAATCAGGCTAATGTGTCAATGTAACTGCAATTAATTTAGGGGATGGGTTATTTTTAAGTATATTTGTTTGTGGGGAATATTATATGCATTGAAAGATATATATATATCAATAACAATTGTTTAAAAAAAATTATATAATTTGTTTAGCATTTTTTTAAAATAAAATATATCAATATTAAAACCTCACTCAATAGTATTCCTATGAATAAATAAGATTGTAAATTGCCAAAAATGTGTTTGTCGATGCTTTTAAAAAAAACAAAAACGAAAAACCGGATGGTTTTAACCAATCTGGAATGATTTTTAGTCGTGAATAACTTAAACGTGTCTGCTTACTAGGAGACAAGCTTCTACATCTCGTGGATATGTTAATGGTAGAAACAGAGCAGAAGGGTAAGTCTCTGTTTTTAGAATATTATTATTTTTTCTAATCACTGCAATTTAATTTTATACACATTTTAATTTAAAATTCAATTGAATAATTTCACAAGAAAAGACCACTTATATTTTATTTATCGTAATCAAGAAAAAGATATGTAAATTATTACTTATATCATGCAGATTTCCGTCGAGAGAAGAAAAATAGGTAGAGAAATGTTCAAAAGTATATCATAAAAAAGAAGTAAAAGAGTTTTAACTAATGTTTTGTTTTTATTATTAATATCTCTTAATTAGTAATATTTTGGTGGACAAGGACAATTCAAATAATTAAACACATTTTTGGTGGTTTTGCATCCCATTATCCTTTATCAGGTGTAATAAAAGAATTTGTTAATTTTTTTCTTCGAATCAAATGTGATATTTTAGAAATGTTTTATAGTGAAAAAAAATGTTTTTATTTTAAGTAAAATATTGTATGTTTATTTTTTAAATAGTGCAAAAGCACGCTGATTTATTTTACATGTGAGTGTGACAGACTATAAGTATTATTTAAACAAGAGATATTTTATATTAGATATATTTTCTTTAAACTATATTTAAATTTTGTCTTATGAAGAGTGTTGCAGTTTATTCTGTTCTTTCACTAAAAGTTTCAAATAAATATTACAGTCTTTTCCATTTTATAATTATTTTTAAAAATGTTTTAAGGTACAATGATTTTTAGATCAAGCTATCAGCTCCAGAAGTGAAATTGTATATATTGTATTGCTTTTAATTTAAAATACAATGACAAGTTGGTGATCAATATAGAGTTGTATTATAAAAGTGGAATTGTATTTTTAATAATTTGAATTTTTCCGATTGTGTTCGCCATTGTTACTTGATTTCTCTTGGGAGCTGTGTAAAAAAAAACTTTCTTTAAAGTGTGATGTTTTTGAAGCTTGTTTCAAGCTTTATTTTCATTGGTCGTTTGATTATTTGAATAATATTAAATTAATTATCTGGAATCTAGTGAATTATTTGTGTACAAGTTTAAAGGATTAATTAGAGGACTCATCATGAATTTTTTTCTTTTGTAATTAAAATCCTTTTGATATGTTGATTAGAGAATACAGAACTTGTAGGGAAATAAAAAATTTATGACTGTAAAAACTGTTTTAAATTATCTCTGGCATTTCTTATTTTAGCTGAAATTTATTTCTCCATATTTACCACCAGCATTTCTGAACACTCTTAAAAGAATCACATGCTTTATGTTAAAATAAAGATGGCTAAAATTAAGTCAGCCTCTTTTTCAAAACTTGCAATTTCAAATGGTTTACTTTTGTAGTTTTAAATTAATGTTCAATTAAGAATAATATTAATTTCCACTTTTTGTTTCAGGTTTTTACATCATTTAGTCACTACATTGTCAGAAAATACAGGTATGTTCTTTCATTAAAAACTATTTTGATTTTAATACTCTTAAAATAGTAATTTTCTAATAATCTATTGAATATAGCGCATTCTTTTAAACAAAGCATGTTATTTTGTCACTGTTAATATTATCTACATTATTAAATATATTTTGGATAGAAACTTATAGTAAATTAATGTAGTTTTCTACCTAATGTTGTCCTCCCCCCCCCTCTCCATTTAACAACAGCTACCCTGTTAATAAAAAGTATTAAAAATTTAATTTTAATTAGAAGATAACTATAAACCATGTTTGTCTTTTAAATTGTTATCTAGATCATGTGTTCCTTGTTTCTCCTAAAATAAAAATTTAAAACTTAATGCTTCATATTATTACAGCAACCGAAAGTATCAGTAAGTGTATCTTGTATCAAATTGCATTATGTCTCATGTGTATCAATTTGCTGGAAAAGTTAAATGTTTGGTTTCATATGGTTTAAGTCGAAACTTAAAATTACAAATACAATTTGTTTAGCAAGTTTTATAACAATTGTCTAAATTTAAATAAATTTCATATTGTACCAAAAATAGAAATGTTTCAAAAAATAAGTTTATTGTACCAAAAGATAAGTCTTATTAATATTCTATTGTACATTTCATAAGTAGTAAAAAATATTGTGGAGTTTATAAGACGGGATTTCCTTTTAAAGCATTCTTATTTTGTGATTCCAACTTTTAATTGCTTTTTATTTCTGATTTAAAAATTCAATTTATTTTTTTTTCCTTTAAAAAACCTTATATTATTTTCAATTTTCAGGTTTAGTTCCAAATGCAAGTTTTCCTGTGTAAGTTCTTTTTTTCTTTGTACTTGTCTAAATGTATATTAAAAAATAGGTCTACAAAATCAATGTATAATCGCTAAATATTGTAATTTTTGCAAATTCGTAAAAATATTTTTGAACTGTCGATATTTTACTGCAAAGATAATGGATTTCATTTTTTTAGAAACAAAAATTAGCTGATCAAAGTTTAGCTCTTTTCAAAAATAAATGTTTGGGAATTAAAAAAGAAACTTAGCTATCACAGAAATTAGTTAAAATGTTGGTTATTTAATTGTTGATTATTTTTGGCTTGACAAACAAAATTTAGGTGCTACAACAAATGCTAAAATGTCATCTTTTACAGTTGTCAAAGTAAGTTCATTTTACCAAATTTGGGAGACCTTGCTTGGCATGGTAATAATAAGTTAGAAATGGCAACTATAATGTTTGTTTTCATCTTAGCAAATTTTTGGTAGTGCTTTTAGTTAGCAAACACAAAACTTTGTTTCAGCTTAAATTATTGAGTTTCACTGCATCCCAGTGGCAGAATCACAGTGACATTGTCGCAGAAAGTTACCAAATTCTTGCAGAAAGATTTTTCTTTTAAGGGAAGTAAAAGACGTTGGTTTCGTAAATCATAAGTATTTCGGATTGTATTTTTGACAGTTATTGATGTTGATTTTTGAGTAGTTTTTAAAATCCGATATTCTTAATATGATGTTTATTACAAAAACCGACTCTCGAAACATAACACGCATTTGAGTAACCCCCTTATTAAAGAGTCCGATTCATGTGATTTCATCGTCTATTTTTTTTTTTACTGCGATTAAAAAATGTGAAAAAGAAAGTAATTCGCTTTTTTTCTCCTACAAAGAATATCGCCCATAGTATTAGAATTTAATACAAATTTAAATGCAATTTATTTTATCAAAGTAGGTTTTTTTATTTGTAAGAGCTAAGCTTTAATTGTACTTTAAATTTAATATATATATATATATTTGTTATTATTAAAAGTATCTTGCAGAAAAGATATTAGTGCTAGAGAGATTTGTCGCAGGAAGCCCGAAGAAATTCTGCCACAGGGCACTGCATTTGGATATCTCATGCAAAAATCTTCAGTGATTTAAGAATATGATTTTTGAGCAAAATGACAGTCCAGCATCTTATTGGTAAAAATAACATATTGCCACCTTAACCAGTACTTCATAACGGAAATTTTTGAGCTTGAGATCGCTGATACCACCCACCAGTATCATAGAAAATTGAAATTCAATAGGCTATTAGTCTTTGGCCCTTAAGACCCGGGACTTCCATGTCCAATTTTACTAAAAGCAGGTCCCTTTTCAAAATATAAATTCTAAACTGCTTTATCCATCTATTAATATTCATATTAATCTATTGATTAACAAAACAAGGAGTTGCAAATAAAAAAAAGTTATATTATTGTCAAAACTTATCAAGTGTCTGCATCAAGAAAAAACAATGATTTAATTTAATACTGATAATAATTCTCTCCTTCAGCTATTAATAAAGAAGAATTTTTTTTTTTATGTATTTGAAGTTTGGTTCTAAGTTTACTTACATAAATCTGCTTGTGGTCTATGTTTTTTCCATGCTGAAGAGTTACGTGTCTCAGAAGACGCATTGTTACTTATTTTTCATATTTCATCTAGGGATTTTTCAATATTTGATGCATTATAACATGTAAGCAGAATCGCTGTTCTGTTAAACTTAATATCCACAACTTCAAACTCACCTTTTAAGAATTAATACTTTTTTTTAATAACCTCTCTTCTAATCAGATGATGTTATAATAATTAAATGTATTGGTCTTGCGTGTGTGTCTTTTTTTTTTTTTTAAATAAAGTATAAATTGTGTATTTTAATTTTACTTTTTAGTTTCCTAAATCTTCACAGCAACCCTGGTGATTATGCATGGGGAAGAGGAGGCTGGAATGCAATTATTACTCAAGTAAGTTATGTTTTTCTTAACTGGTGACAACAGTAGGGTGGCTACAGTACAGGGATAATTTTATCAGTCTGGAAAATTCTGGAAATAAACTATAATACCTAAATAATCAAGAAAATAATTATTTGTTTGGTCTTAAAATAAAAAGGAGCTTTACATTTTTTAAAAAAAAAAAAATTGTGTTTGAATTCTAATGGTATGTATAAAGGTTTTCTAATCTAATATATTTTGAGTTGAAAAGTTAGGCATAACTGCAGAATATTTTTAAAAAAATATGCCACAAGTACAAAAATCAATGAAATCAATTTGGAAATAAAAGGATGGGTATATTTCTCTTTTTAGCTATTGTTTTTCAAAGTAGAATAGAAAATAAGCTGCTGATATGATATAATGTTTACAAAAAGAAATCTTAACCTGTATATGAAGGAAAAAAAAAAGCCTTCATTGCAGTTGGCAGGTGCCAAAAAGTTTTTCAAAATTGGGTGATACTTTTATTCAGCCAAAAAGTCTATTTTTCTTTAGACTTTAGAACAAATATTTTAATTAGTAGATTTAGTATTTATGCAAATAGGAGAGACTTATCTAAATTTTGAACTCTTGTTTCTCCTATTTAATTAAAGCTTTTTGATTAAAAGTCAATCTCTTAGTGAAGTAGAATAGAGATCATTTTCTTGTAGTTGTGGACTTTTGCCTGAGCTCACAAATCCCCCATTATATTAAAAAAGAAGTTAACAATGTCACCACTATTTCAGGAAACTTTCACTGCTTTTTTTCTCTTACATATTGCAAAATCTACTGGTAATTTTGTACATTTTTAGAAACAGTTTTTAAGTAACATTTTGTTGTGAAAATGTTATGTGTGTTATGTTTTTTAATAATTTCAACTACAATCTAAGCCTTTTTGCTAACTTTCTATTGTTCTATGATAATTTAAACATATTTCAAGTATATTCTTTCAATTTATTTTTTGTTGCACATCCTTTTCTCAAACTTTTTTTCTGATTTCTTGTCAGAATGTATTATTACACGAGCCTCTAAATATTTAAATGATACCAAAAATTAAAAAATGAAATTAAAAAATAAATAAAAATTTAAAATAATGATGTCAAAGAATTTTTAAGTGATATTCTAGTGAGAAAATTGTGTTATTACTATCTTCTGTTTAAATTTAACTTGGAAACATTAGGAAAAGAAGTCATATCTGAAATTTTTTTCCTTCTCAAGAATTATACCCCTTATTTGTTTCCTTAATATCTGAGATGTAAAAACTTTTTGAATGCTTATATATGTTGTTTATTTGTTCACAGCTAATTAATCAACTTGATGGCACTGGTCCTCCNTTTTTTTTTTTTTTTTTTTTTTTTTTTTTTTAAATGTCTGTTAGCATATTATTCAATACTCACTAGCACTTTTACATACCATACAAGTGTGTTTAATTATACTGTCATGATAATTAATAAATATTTATTTCGAATGGTTAAATTGATATTTCAGGTTAATATATTCCAATACCTTTTCTTATATAAATGCCTTTAACATAGAATCTAACTCCATTGGAAAATTTAAAATCCAGTAGACGTTTACCAGAATCTTTCTAGTTACCTTCTATTGTTTTGTATTCGGTTAATCTTTATGTAGCATGTTTTGTAATTTTTATGAGAGTTGTTTCACTTTTGCAAAAGTGAGAAACATGTGAACAATAAAGGATAACCAATGCTAAAATCCGAACAATTCTAAATTTTAAAAAAATTTTAAATATGTTATTTTAAGTTCTTTGACTAAAGAGAATAAATTTACCTCAGTTTGACTGTCTCAAACTTAAAGTAAAGCTTTAATTTTAAGCTGTAAATATTATCTTGCTGTATATTTACAGATTATCTGTATAGGTTATTTTATATGTTGAATGTATAGGTTATTTTATATCTTAAATGTATGGGTTATTTTAGGCTTGTAAAAAAAAGTTTTTAATTTGGCCAGATTTTTACATTTAAATCAAAATTTATTTGGAGTGTTTTGGCGTTGAGAAGATGCCTAAAACTCATAAAAAAATTAAACTCGTATGTGGTGAAAAATTTTTTTTAATCTGTTCTTTCTACCTAGACAATGCATGGATTGTATTTTGTGATTAAATTTCTTGCAAACATAAATTTTATTTGTAGTTCATTATATCATATATATAAAAAGTTGTTCCATTTTGCATGATGAGCTCTCCTTTTATATATATATATTTATTTACATTTTATTAGGTTTTAGCTGTTTTTAAGTTCATATAATTATCATAATCATCATATAATTATCATATGTTGAAAATATATATATTCTTTATTTTTCCCGCATTGAAGTTTAGTGTTTTGTATTTAAATTCATGTTAGCAGGGTTGCAATGGGTAACTATATGCAACTATTTTTGACCTGAGGCAACTATGGCAACTTTTTTTGCCTGAAAAGGCTATAAGAGCAACTATTTTCAGGAAAAGGAGACTATTGGGAGACTTTTCTGTGCTACTAGCAATGTTTTTTTTTTAGCATAAATTGGATTGACAACCTGCAGCCTGTGGTAGCTTCTTAACATAATGAATTTTTTTTATTGAAAAATAAAAAAATATTGAATTGCAAATTTGAGTCATCACTTTTTAATGCTCTCAATTTGCACAGATTCCATTGTGAGTCTATTTTGTTTCTCAGTCGCCTTTTCAACGGTTATTGCTACTAAACTCTGCCTGATTTTAAAGAATCCAATTTTTAATACGATACTATGATGCATTAATTCTAGCATTTAAAATTATTTAATGTTCTGCAAATATACAAATTTTTTTTTCTATAAAAATTTAGTGTTAGAGCACTAACGTTAATTTAAAAATTATCGTATTGGCCGTCAACTTGACTAAATGGATTACAATGAAGTCATTTGATAAAATTTTAGTCATATTATTGAAAAAAATTGTTTTTATTTAGGCGACTATTTTCATGCTTTAGGCTACTAGAAGCAACTATTTTGTTCATTTTTTTCTGTGGCAACCCTGTAATGCAATCAAACGGGACTGGGATAGCCTGGTTAGTAGGACACCGGGCCCATGTCTAAGAGAGAGTGGGTTCGATCCCCGTCGGCCGAACACTCCCCGTGAATTAAATGGTGACCGGTGCACGTTAAATCTGTCGAGTCACAAAGTCCTCCATGCTAGATCAGTACCTCCTCTGGAGGTACTGATCTAAGAGTTACCTCGTCTTCTGGATTGGTTCAAAATAACAAGACTACAGAGTTGAGTATTAGTAGTCATAAACCCAAAATTGGGTCGGCTGTTCAGCAACGGTCATAAAATAACAAAATCTAATCATATCTAATGAGATATCTAATAGTATATCTAAATGAAATGTTTATTTTATTTCATTTTATCGGGAGAAAATTCTGCCATGTAAAGGAAACAATCTAGAACTTGCAGGGAGGTCTATATTAGCAGAATTTCTTTAAAAATTTGATTTATTTTACATATTTACCTTACCTTATATATTTATCCCATTTTGTATGATGATATTGTATTGTAGGTAAGAGTAATACAATTTTTTCATT